AAAATTATTTAGCATTTGCGCTAAACGTGGACATCACTAAAAAAATGACCCTATGTTCAGGGCAATTAAATAACTAAAATGGATAATTATGAAGAAATTGAAATTTGATGACAAATAATTGGATAATAAAAAATTAGAGAAAAACATTGACTAAAGGAAATCATGGTTCAACTGCCTGTGAAGCAAGAAAATGTGCAGAATAAATATATTTCTTGAATTAGGATTCGTTAGTTAGGCGGGTTAATCACTAGGCAAAGCTCCATTGTGCAATATTTTTTACAAATAATATCGGGTTCAATGAACGTAGTTCGAGTGTTGAATGCTATATTGAAATTTTGAAAAGGTCTAAGCCCCACAAAAGGGTCCTAGAGCAAGTGCAGTATTTTCTAATTGAACAAGCAAGGCCTAAATGACTGCTTAGCCCGCTCCAGATCACTCCTTGAAAGTCCACAACTCTTACTAATTGTAGATTTACGCAAGTAACACACAAATATATTTTCGGCAAAAATGGCATAAAAGTGATGCTAGTCAGTGGTTGTAAGGCAGTCTTTCTGGAATAAAATAATGAACACGAAATTCAGTTTGGCATATATCCTTCCATTAAAAACAATGCTTCCATTTATTATTATTCAAGATTTTAAAGCAGCAAAAATGTCTGCCGTGTGAATAAATCTATTTTTGGGTAAATTCACCAAAAATTAAAATTGCTTTCCTTACTCAATTGCACGTGGTACTCGAGGAAATAAGATGTTCATATTCTTGTGCATCCTAGAGCGCATTAAACACTCAGCACAGAGTTCATTATCTAAGATCTTCAGCCAGTGGTTAAGCAACCCATAGACCGTGGACCAGCATTGGTCCACAGGAAATTTTCTTCAGCATAATATATGTACAGTATTTAAGGTAATGTAGTAATGAAGTCTTTTATCCATAGCAGACATTTTGGGAAGACAACGATATTCGAAATTATTTGAAGAAAAATAAAAGTTGGCATTCCTCCAAATAACACTTCAGGAGACTAAGTTAACTATTGTTCGCATTCATTCTAAGAAAATTCCCTTGAAGCCCAGCGTTCTAATTTTTTGAAAATTATACTATAGCTGCTACAATGGTTTTCAACTTGAGTTTTGCAATACAAGTTTTGTTTGAAGGACTTCACAAAAGGCTTCTAAAATATTTCTGGTAATCCGCAAGAAATGCTTACAGAAATATGACAGTCCTTCGGCCTAAAAAAGGTGAGGAAAACAGACCTAAATCATCGAAGCAAAAACTTCAAATAATTAACTGAAGATTTTCTCCAACTTTTGGACCAACCAACTGATGCAAGCAGCTGACAAACTCACCTGTGCAAGAAATCGAATCCACGCCTGGTCCGAAATATTCCACAATGGCACCGGTTCCACCCTTCACCGTGAGGATACCGGCTACTTTAAGAATGACATCTTTGGCAGACGTCCAACCGCTCAGACTCCCGGTGAGGTTCACTCCAATGACTTTTGGGCACTTGAGCTCCCAAGGAATATTTGCCATAACGTCAACTGCGTCTGCTCCGCCAACTCCAATGCACAAACCTCCCAATCCACCCCCATTCGGAGTGTGAGAGTCGGTACCGATCATCAGCAGTCCCGGAAAAGCGTAATTCTCCAAGATGATCTGCACGCAAAAATAAAGGAATCCCGCAAGCGCACGGACTTATTGCACCAAAATGCAAGACATACTCCTAACTGAACTCGAAAAGCAATAAAATATTTGAAACGATCATTTACAGCGGTTGGATACACCCAATCTCGACTGTTGATCAACATCGAATTTCTGCACTGATTGCCGAACAATATTTTTAAAAGTAACGTTCTTCAAGGTCTTACACCTTCTGCTTGGGGAATTCCAGGTCATTTTCCAAAGACGGGACTTCCCATCCCTTCCGGGAGTTAATCTCATTCAGAATTTCGTTCAATAAATATTCAAGGCTGCACGAACAGAGCATCTACAACCGTTCTTTAGTGAGTAACATTTATTTTTTAAAACATGTTCATACAAGCGAAACTACTTCTGTCTCATGTGAACGAAGGAATGCCATTAAATGACGTTAGTTTATAACGTTCGAATTTCCATATCTTACTGGAAGAATTTTTTCTAAATTAACGACATAATACACTTCCTTCAATTCTTAGCTTCCGAATCGTAGAAAAAAAATGAGAAGTTGAAAAACGTTCCTGAACAAACCTGATGAATGATTCCGGAGCCAGGTTTCCAGA